TTCTTCCAACAGCTCTCGGACCACTCCAAAATCTTGTCTAAGCTGCAGTGTCCCCTGCAGGCTGAAGGCCGAGGTACAATGTGATCACCTGACCCTCTGGTCTCTCTAAACTGCTCTGCCCCACTTATCCCCTCCCCTTTTCCAGTTCCATTCATCCCCCTGCCACTACTTTCTTTTCTCCCCACCTGAACCGGATCCCATGGGTGAGGATGTGGTCAAGCCAGGCACTCAGGATGGCTGTCAATGCCTGGACAAGGGCAGGGGCCTGGGCTGGAGGTAGCAAACCCTGCAATCCTTGCAATACAGGCTCCAGTACAGTGCGGACCACCAACCCAGCATACTCACTAGGAACGCTGGGAAGTTCTGGGGTAAGAGAAAAGAAAGGACAGAATATAAGGTTACTGAGATCTATTGAGCACCTAATGAAGTGACTGGGGGAAGACAGTAGGATTTCCAGTGTGGAGGTAGGATTTGGAGGGGTCTGGATACTCTTACCCCCTGGGAACCCTGAGGATGCTGGAATGAGGAGTTACCAGGACAAAGACGATGCCGCCAGTACCGACCCCGTGGCATGTGAAGTTTGAAGCCCTGTGTAGCCTGTTTATAGCATTGTTGAAAAAAGAGACTCAGTGACTCTTCAGGCAGGAGCTGTGGGCATAGTGACAAAGTAAAAGGCGATTATCTGTTAGGGGCTTGTCAAGTTCTGATGCTTTTCTAAATCTGAGGTGTTTAACCTGGCATCCATAAAACCCAAGAACAAAATTGTATACATAATTGTGTGGGCTCAGGCATTTTCTGAGGACAGATGCCATTGCTTTTACTGGATTTTCCAAAAAAGATTATGGATAATTGCCCTAAGATTATCCTGCTCTTCCCAGCTTGGTTCAGAGGATAGAAATCCTCCCGATTAATTTTCTCCTATAGGAACTTAATAGGAAAAAGAGAGAGACCCTCACCACAACCAATGTTCAAAAGCAAATGCGAGGGAGAGGCTGAAGAAAAAGGAGCTGTACAATATCTGGCTATCATTTATGAAAGGAAAGCAGGAACTGTGTGTAGATCAGGAGCAATGACTAACTTTCTGAGATTCAAGAACCTTTGGGATATCTTTACACTGAGTATTCTAACAGCCTACTTGCATTTCTCCAGAGCAGTGCAACCCATAAAGTAAGGAAAGGTCCATGTGCTGGTTTGGTTTCTTCGGTTTGATAGGTTTTGTTCGTTTTTTAAATATATTTTTTATTTCAGAGAGGGAGAGGGAGATGGATGGAGGGAGTGAGGGAAGGAGAGAGAGAGAGAGAGAGAGAGAGAGAGAGAGAGAGAGAGAGAGACATCAGGGATGAGAGAGAATCATTGATTGGCTGGCTTCTGCACAACCCCTACTGGAGATTGAGCCTGCAACCCAGGCATGTGCCCTTGACCAGAATTGAACCAGGGACCCTTCAGTCTAAAAGGCCAACACTCTGTCCACTGAGCCAAACCAGCTAGGGCTAGGTTTTGTTTTTGAAAGGGGAGAAGATAACAGAAGAGGGGGTCTCTAGAGCCCATCTTGGAGGAGAAGAACCCCAAGAAATAGGGTGTGTAGTAGCAGGTCTGTAAAGAAAAGGTTCCTGGTGCATATCCTGACAATAGCCTCTCTAAACCAAACCTCTTCTCTCCTCCCCCAAATCAGTACCCCCTCCTTCCTTATTTATGCCAAGGAAATGACACTTCTGTCCATTGATATTGGTAGGGAACCCCTGCAATCAATACTCAGTAAATACAAGATCACACGATGAGACAGTCTCTCTCTCTGGGACAGTCCAGTCCAGTTGGGGAGAATACTCACAACATCAGTTCTTTTTCATCCCAGTACTGTAGGTGGTGGAATGCTCAGACAGAGGAGCAAGGCATCAGAGTGCTCTGTACAGTGTTTGGTTCACACAGTGACCACACTACCTCTGCTCCTTTTGCTCTGTTCTCACCACTGTACCAAGAGCTGGACGGTATGTCTCCTCACCTCCCTTCCATCCTGACCACTGTAGCTGGATCAAACACCATCACCACCTTCACTGTTCCCCTCCCACTCCTGCAGTGGCTCCCTATCACTCATTAGATAAAGTCTTGTCTCTGTGCACTAGTGTTCAATGCCCTCTATCTGCTTCCTCCTCCACAGTCCCTCACCCCACCCCAAACACACACAAACCCACTACATACAAAGGGAGTTTCTGCTTCGGCCAGGCCATCTCTCCACTACTCTCCCAAGGAACTATGAACTGTCCACCTCCTGCCACTCCTCTAAAGCTGCCAAGCCACCCATGAGCCATAGGCCTTGTGTGAAGCTTCTGTCACCACATGCCCGCCATTGTCTTCTGTCCTCAGAGGTCCCATGACCATCACTGTCCACCCTAATCATAAGGAGCCTGCTTCGGGATATGCTGAGTTGAAGAAGGCAGCAGTAAATGAAGGTGGAAATGTCCAAGAGGCAGATGCAGATGCTAGATTAGGGCTAAACTGGGGCCGGAGTGGAGGTGCATAGCACCAAGGCACTGTGAGTAGCAGGA